AGAGATGCTAAAGCGGGTGAACTACTAGCCAGAAAACTAAGAAGGAAAAAGTGAACTCAAACACTTTTGCATGTTGTTCAGGTTAAAGATGCATGGGGTATCTTGTAGGCATTGCGTGTGACACAACAGGTTTTGTGGGAATGAATTTTCCGCAGTGTCCTAACTAAGTTTCCATTGAAAGGCAATTTGCCCGTCTACACAAAATGTGAAAGCAATGTTCAGGGTGAAGCAGTAACAGCGGATCAGAACATATTTGATGTTTAACATATATACTAAAGGGATGATGTACTTTTGTAGGCCAACCCAGAAGTTAGCATCATCCTGATTCCCTCGACAAAATCCCTTGGATTTTTCCATTGGCTTTTGGATTATTGCAGAAAACAAGTTCTGTGACTAACAAAAATGAATGATTCTTGCATGATTTGTTCATGTTGATGATAAGCTTCCCAAAACATTTTTTGAATGAATTTTGAAACCTACACTCTAAAAAATGCTGGGTTATTTTAACCCAAATTTGGGTCAAATATGGACGAAACCAAATGTTGGGTTAAAAATGCAATTAAAAAAAATACAGTTGAAAGTGAAAGTTGAAGTTGGGTTAAAATTTGAAATTACATTTTTTTAACCCAACTTTGGGTTCAAACAACCCAGCATTGTTTAGAGTGCAACCGACGTAGGCTAAACAAATTACACTAGTATGACTTCAACTTCAGTTTGAGCAATAATAGGTTGCAAGAGCATGATTATAAACTAAACACAACGAGGCTGTGAAAGCGGACTGGTGAGTAGATGCCTGTGTGGAAATCACATACTCCCTTGAGTTCTTTTGAACAAGTAATTACTTGATGACCGCTAAAAAGTACAAAAAAAAACTTCACAAATCCTCTCCCGTGGCCTCATGGGATAGTAAAATATCCATCGTATGCACACTTCAGAATCTCGCAAGAAGTAGTTAGTCATTCGGGTACTTTGTGCCTGCTCTTTTTGAGTACTGTGAATTCGGTATTCATGCAATTTTGGATGCTGATGAGTTTACAAACTCTCTCGTCCCATTTAGCCACGTGTTAGCAACTGTCTTTTTAAAGACAAGTAAAAGATTTTTAAAAAAGCAATACAAGAGGGTATTATTGATTAATCTTGCAGAAGATGTCTGCAGAGATGATATCCCCTATATGACATATATTGATTCCGGAAGTATTTTTTCCATTCATTTTCCCCATAGGGAATACATGATGCAATACAACCTTTATAAAATAATACATTCACAGGAACATAATTTAAAACAAAATGCATTATAACCCATGAACCCAAATCAACCAGTTATGAGGTGAATCACAGCATTACAACCTTTTGTTTGAAGCAAACAAGTATTTGAAAAAGTAACAAAAACACAACGGTAAGACTGTGAACAACGATTTTAGACGGGGAAAGAACTAAAGTCCCATGAAGCATTGCAAATGAAAATCAAAATATAAAACTATTCCTTAAAAGTTGTGGATTAAATCAATACATCAAAAAATTATTGCAAAATAGCTGCAGAGAATGTTTGACTGGACAAAAATATGTGCAGTGCTTCATAAGATGCTCTGACTGAACATTATAAAAGTATATATTTGGTCACAAAACTGTCATTTTGATTTCATTGCTTCTTTTTCTGAAGTCAAAAACAGTTCTTAGTCCAATGCACATTCTATCACCATCCGCAGCATCTAGCGTTTTCTGAATGAGAGAAGGCGCTCTGTGTGAACAGCTCCTATAAGGCCTCAGGGTGGGTCTATTCATGCAGCAGCTGCAAAACAGCTGCCAGATTCCCATCAAAATGCATAGTAAAAAAAAAAAAAAAAAGAACAAAAAAATGACTGCGCTAACCCCTTGTGTTTGGTGGCACACGGTCAGGAAAAACAGCTATCGACCCTCTTAGACGGCACATCCAGAACAGCGTCGACTTAAAGAACATTCCATGTGTTTCCAGAATGATAACGCTGTCATTAGGTGCACATCTGAACCTGCCGAGATGATCCCGATGATCTACGGTAGCGTGTCCCGTGTGGCAAAGCTTGACTGCAGGAAGAAGAGATCTGTGTGGGTGTTGGGCCTTTTGTGTCTGGCTGAGGTGCATAATTATGTCTCCTTCACTGCACCCCTCTGACAGCCAGTATTTTAATGGCACTCAATAACAGAGGTGCTACAGCCTGAACTGACGATTAAACCACTGTGAGTGTTTGAGTCTGTGACTGTGCTGATAAGGCCATGCAACAAATCTCTGTCCACAAATCCATATATATATACTGCAATGTATATGTATAAATGGAATAGATATAAATAGATAGCAATGTATAGTAATTTTTTTATACATTTAGACGTTCAAGTAGATGGAATCTGTGAAACTACAAAGGAATGAATCCAAGTATTTCACTGATAATACCTCACTGAATGTGAATAAATCTAGCTTGGTCTGAATAGCAATAAATGAAGCCAAATGAGAAGACTATATCCCATCAAGGAGATAAAAATCAATCTTGCCCTTTTATTTGTGCAACTTTAAAGGCCCAATCAGGTCCCTCTGAGTTGCTATGGTTACATAGACTGCAGGATGTTATTGCAAGAAAGCTGGTCTGAGCCTTTTGATCGTAGATAAGGTGTGATCGACCGCTAATCCAACCCTGGACTATTGCATTTCTGTCATATGAACTCAGATGCTGAGGAGAACCGACCAGCTACCGCTATTAACAGGCATGTGGTCTTGTGTGGTTTAAGTAAGGGATCATATTGTATTCTAAAACAAAAAACAGTGATTTAAAAAACAGAACTAAAATTAAATAAAATGATTGCAAAAGTGAATGAAGCAAAAGTAATCAAATACATTAATGATAAATATAAATAACTCATTTTTGGGTGGACATTTGACATGTATCATAACTTAGGCAAAATGTAGGCTTCTTCCTGAGAAGTTCGTATATTTTGGAGTTGGGAAGTCCTGTTTACGTGTGTTCAAGCCAAAAATACATTTTTGATTTTTAATTCTATACTTCTATAAAATGAAAAACAAAGGATGAGAATCTGGTGTGTTTTACTTTTTATGTTTTTAATTAGGGCTGTCAAACTATTAATCGCGATTAATCACATCCAAAATAAAATTTTGTGTTTACATAATATGTGTGGGTGCATTGTGTATAATTATTTTATATATATATAAATACACACGTCATGCTTGTATATATTTAAGAAATATATTTTAATGTATATACTGTATATATATTTATATACAATTTATTTTATATATAAATATAAATATTTTATATACAAATATTTTTTTCTTAAATATACAAGCATGTGTTACAAAATAATTATACACAGTGCACCCACATATATTATGTTAACACAAACTTTTATTTTAGATGCGATTAATCGTTTGACAACCCTAATATAAATATAAGCATTTTATATATAAATAATATATTTTTCTTAAATATACATACATGTGTGTGAATTTATATATATATATATATAAATAATTATACACCGTGTACCCACATATATTATGTAAACACAAACTTTTATTTTAGATGGAATTAATCGCGATTAATCATTTGACAGCCCTTAATTTATATTATATATAAATATAAATATTTTATATATAAATAATATTTTTTTCTTAAAAATACATTCATGTGTCTGTATTTACATATATATACAAAAGAATTATACACAGTGCACCCACATATATTATGTAAACACAAACTTTTATTTTGGACGCGATTAATCACGATCAATCGTTTGACAGCCCTATTTTTTATTAATTTAGAAAGCTTTATCGTTGCGTATTATATGGTGTCATATTTTGTGCAGACTTAATATAATATTTATTTAAAAAGATTGAGTTACAATTATTGAGTTAGAATAGTTTGCAAGTGTGGTTATAAACATCAAATGGCAAAACTTTAATAACCTTTCTGAATAAACATAAATGACACACCTGCTCTTAAAATGCTTGCATTTCATGAACTATATTTGGAATACAGGCACAACTGTGGTCTCTTTTGAAAGACGATGCTTAGAATGGCTGTGCATTTCATTTCTGTCTTTATCTGAAGCCAGATTTAATTAAAGGGAACCAAACAGACCAGCATAATGCTAATTATGCCCCTTTCCCTGACATTTCGCTTTACTCGCATGATAATCCATTCCCCCAAAACTTTGTTACCCATCACGAAGATATCTGGCTGCCTCCATCAAAAAACGCCCACACTTCAAGACTACCAATTTAAATCAGAGAGAAAGGGGCCTCTCAGTTCAATAAGCAGAATTCAAAACCCCACTGTCTTTCTACTCTGGCTTGTCTAAGGGCCAGATGGAAGGAAAAGCCTGTGGATAAGAATGCTGGATGAGGGCTGGGTCCTTCACACTAGGATGCAGAAGGAGGTATGGAGGCCTGTCTTAATTGCCTGTCTCAAAGAGCTGGCTGGCAGAGGATTTATTCAGGCTTAATAGAGCCTGCCCGTTTCACTGTGGGCGCACGTGTCAGCTTGTGAATGTCACTCAAAGATGCCGAGTGCAGGAACCGGAGGGAGTGGTCGGGTGTGTTCTCATTCAAGCACACAGGCTGTTAGCTAATCAGCTAGCATGGCCGCCACTCACGGCTCTCTCAGCCTAGGATGGGGTGGTGGGGCATTGGGGGTAGTGGTACAAATGTTTCTGCTTGTCATTGTCTGCTTTTTACACAAACATTAAAGATAAAATGTGATTCTTCTTTTTAAGGGACAGAGATTTCTTCATTAAAGATCAAACGCACTCGGGCCGACTCATTTTGATTTAATTAACTGGCATTCAATTAAGATAGGGCTTAAAAACGGGCCATTAAAAATGCAAATGCAACGAAAATGTACTGATGACTGGCAGCTTTGTAATCATTAAAACTTTTTAATTAATACATGCATTTGTTGTCAGCGGCAGCAAACAGCAATTAACATCACATTAGATAATAAGAAAAATAGAGTGTGTGTTGTTTTAGCAAGGTTTTAACGACCTTACATATTTATTTTTCAGTCTCTTAAGATGCAATGCAAGTAAAATACAGGAAATATGTACCCACACACACACAACAAAACATACAAAAAAAGGCAAAATTCAGTATTTAGTGTGACATCCCTTGACACTAAGCACATCTTGAACTCTTTTAGGAAGACTTTCCTGAAGTTATCTTCTGGTATATTTCACCAGGCTTCATTCAGTACATCCCAAGTTCTTCTTTGGATTTAGGCTGTCTTTTATTTATTTCTCTGTCCAGGTGATCCCATATTGCCTCTATAATATTCAGGTCTAGACTCTATGGAAGCTAGTCCATGACTGTCAGCGTTTTTCTCTCCAAATATTGGCAGTGTGCTTGGGATCGTTAACATGCCGAAAAATAAAACCATTCCCAATCATCCACTTTCCAGAATGAATGGCATGATGAATTAAAACCTGTCTGTACTTTTCAGCATTCATGATCCCATTGATTCAGACAATATCACCAAAACTATTGCAGAAATGCAGCCCCACACCAGGAAAAAAAAAACCCTCCATGTTTCACTGACAACTGCAAGCACTCATTCTTCCAACTCTTCTTCTCACATATTGTCGATGATTGGAACCAAGATTGTCAAACTAGGCTTCGTCACTCCATTATACTCTTTTCCACCGATTCCAATCTTGGTGAGCTTCAGCATATCTGACCCTTTTCACTCTTTTAAAGGTGCAGTGGGTCGGTTGCGAGTTGCACTAAGGGCTCAGCCCACTGCTCACCCCTCCCTTTCAGAGAAGCTACGGTGACTAAAACGGGTCAAACATATCATCGTCTGAGACAGCAGAGAATAGCTAGAGTAAGCCAAGAGTGTGTAACATTGTCACTGTTTCTTCTGAACCACAGTCCATTATAAACCACATCATGGATAAAGTTTACAAAGCCATAGTCAGGTGCTACTATTGCTCAAGTGTAAGGGGAGGTCACACTACTTGATCCTGCAGCCTATAGTATATTAGCTGTTATGATTTCCCCTGCTACCTAACCACAACCTTAAACTTTCATTTTGAATTGAGTTTTGATACTGTGACATTCTCTACCTTGTTTGTTTATTTTTGTGTGTATCTTGACATTGTTAAGCACTTACTAAGACTTGTACACAATACTGTTAATTTACCCTTGGAAGGCCAGTGAATAATAGACAATCAGGAACTGAACAAACTAAATAATACCAGTATGGTAAACATGGTCAATAGTGCCACCTATACCACATTTAAGTATTCTGAAAAATCTGTTGTGCCTTTAACTAATACAATAGCACACAACTATACACCATATGGTTTCAGAATGGTATTGGATAATAAGGAACATCATGTGAGTGTAGGTGTATGTGAAGTGTGTCTTGGCAAGTCGTTGTGCCTGTGTCAACACCATATGTTTTGAGGGTGTGTGTCTGTCAGATATCCTAATGTATAAGCATTGGTGCAGTAACTCAAATCACATTTCAAATCAAATACAGAAAACCAATAAAACAGAAATATTACAGTATGATTACTTAAAAACAATTTTCAGCCAATAGAACGTCACACTTGCACATATTTTCAGTGTTTTACTTAGTATGCTTCAGAAATTTCACACACAACATGACATTCATAGACACTACAGAAATAATATTGTTGTGATGATCACAAACTTCCTCTTGTACTCAGTGTATAGATTACAGCTGTACAGGCCACTTACAGTATAGAGCTCTAAGAAATCCTTAAATGCTGGATTTGTAAAATTCAACAGTGTATATATATATATATATATATATATATATATATGCAGAAAATAATGTGCTATGTGGAAAATTATTTACATTTAATTATCAAAAATGTATTTCATATCCTGCCGATGGTCCCCTATTCTTCTGTACAATACTGATGTTTCTGAATTTGCTTACCTTAAATTCATTCGTATCTCTGTTACTATCAGGAGAAATGACCTTAGGTTAACTAACAAGAGACAGCGACTGAATTGAATGATGAAGACTGCCACTTCTACAAATGTCTCATTTACAACTTCCACTAAATAATTGTAACATTTAGTATAAAAACAAGTCATTCATCTCAAGAAACGAAGGCAGAATGAGTTAAGAAATGTACTAAAGAAACCAAGTCAAATCATGGTTGACTATAATGTGAAAATTTGAGTTTAAAAGAAAGGATACTATTATCTTGAACTCATGGTATGAATACAGGACCATATCAGACCCATTTCGAAGAGGCAAAAGTGAATTTAAATAGTTTTGAAGGGGTGCCTTCGTTTTCTGTACCTACTGACAGTTTTTCCAAAGTCATGAACTTTTACATGTGCGTCCAGGGTGAAAGCCACAGTATCTCTATTTTCTCTTAGCGTTCACACTCTTGCAGACCCAGTTCATGCCATCCTGAAACACAACATTTGAGTAATTTAGTCTAAATTGTAAAAAACGTCAAATTTTGCAGTCAATATGTGTACTAAAGTGACCTGGACTCCTTCTCCGGTGAGGGCAGAACAGGACTGGATCTGCCACACTCGGTCTCGGATGGTGTGCAAATTCAAACCCTCGGCTATTTCAGATGCAGGTGCTGCTGTCAGCAGGTCTTGCTTATTTGCAAACACCAGGACTGGGACACCGCTCAACTTTTCTTCATCAAGTAATTCAGCCAACTCCTGTATGCAGATAAATTCACTTATGTAAACACTGAGAGCAGAAATAGTTTGGAAGAGCAAAACAATCATAACAACAAAGCATCACCTGTCCCGTTTCCTCAAATCTTTTGCGATCTGCACTATCGATGACATAAATCTGAAATCAAAAAGATCAAATTAAACAAGTGTTTGCAATTAAAGTGGATTGTGGGATGACTGTTAATCAGACAGATGATCTCACCAGTACATCTGTGTTCTCAAAGTAGTTCCTCCAGTAGGGCCTGATCTTTCGTTGACCACCAATATCCCACACATTTAATTTGAATCCTTGCGATTGGACACTTTTGATATTGAAACCCTAAAACAAAAACAAGAAACAGTTGCAATGGTAATAAAGCACAGCTGATCCAGTAATTTGCTTTGCATATGCATTTGGCTTTCTTCTGAGATCTGAATGCAGTAGTTACAGTAACCGTGTCACCTGTGTTGGCGTAATATGAGTGATGTCTTCAGATGCCAACTGTTTCAGTAAGGTAGTCTTGCCACCGTTGTCCAACCCTAGAAGCAATATCCGCACCTCCTGGTCGGGGGTACTTTTCAGTTTCCGTAAAATCGATAACAAACCCTAAAAAAAAAAACAAGTAAATAGCGCAGATTACACAATGCTCTCTGACTTTATGCAATGCTTGCATCATGACGTCATTCGCACGAGCATCAACAAACAAACAGGTTTCAAGAGAATCAATTATTACTCAAGGGATGTAGAAAATAGATCTTGATATAGTTTTCCCCCAAAAAATAGGGATAAAAAGAGACACTACATTTGCTTAAGCAAATCTCGAACAGTCGTGACACTTAAAAATTCCTGCAAGCTAATCTCATCCATGACCGAGAACCGCTGCTCATCTTTAATAGCCCTTGATTACAAAAAATCCACAATTCTCCTCGGACAACATGGCTAACATGACTGAATTTCACAATGTGACGGGGAGTATAATGTTAAGTCCCAAACAAAAACGTCTACAGGTAGTAATTCGTTTATTGTAAGCGCTTTAACTCACCATCTTGTGATTCTGCCTCCCTGAGACGCCGCGGAGGGTTACTAGGGGGAAGAGAGGATGACGTAGTACGCAAAACCTACGTGCATTTCCAAAGGGCGCAAATTGACGTAGTTCACGAAAAAAAAAAAAAAAAACATTTTAGTTTTGCTAATTGTTTTAAACCTATGATTCAAACAAACAAAATATACATTTAATGTTAATTAATATCGTTATAAATTATATATTTTGATACAGAAAACATATTTTAACAGCTATTACTCAGTGACCAAATCCATGAGATGTTTTATAGTATACATACAGATCAATGTGATATACAGTATTAATTTAGTATAGAAATATACACGACGAGTCTTTTGAATCAATCAATCAGTTGAACCTGCACGATTCTGATCCGATTCCTCAAATAATTTCCTTCGAAAAGGCAAGCATTCACACATTTTAAAATTTCTATAGTATTTATATAACGTAACTATAAATATATGGGAAAATATACTAGCAATATGCTATTCGGATTTCAGCTAACGACTAAGTGAACCGAGAAAATCGTCTCTTTCGGACAAGTCCGATTTGTGATGATAAGCATTTGGAGTGAACACGTGGTTCTAAATGCATATTTCGTATGCAAATGGAACTGGGATGCACAAAATTGCATGAATAAAACGAAATAGTAAAAAGTACAATACACGTCATTTGTACACATACGTTAGAAATGCTTTACTGGAAACATTTTAGAGCATGAACAGCTAAATGTTACCACTGTTACTGTTCGAGGTAACCCATTTGCGGAAATGAACCAGACTTCCTCCTATCCTGTCACTAGAGGGGAGGGATATTCTTCACTTCGGGGATTGGAGGATAGAATGCCACATGCTCGTCTACTGTTGCAAGCCCACATCATCACTTCATTGTTTTTTACTACTGAAGCAGCGCCACGAGATATAAACAAGAGTATCACGGCGCTACATAAAGGTATTTTAACGTGTCATATTTTATATTTATGGTTTTGTCTGATTTGTTTTGGCAGCGCATATCCGGGTCCTTGTGTTCAATGAACATGAACTGATGCAAGCTGTTTGGCAACTTACAGCCTTTCTACTTTGCATGATTCTAATGTAAGTTTAATGCAGGGCTGGTTTATGAAAATTGAAACCTCTTAATGTTTGAGAATTATTTATGTTTTAAAAGCGCACGCCTACTTTTTTATACCACTTTAGAAATGACAAGCGAGGTCTGTTTTCTTTTAAGCTCGTTGTTAACATAGCCTAGTTGGTATAACGCTAGTAAGCTGTGCGTAGTTGTATTAGTTTGGTGGTGATATTTTATTTTAATTAGAGTGGATGTTTTAAACATCTTTAAAATACAAGTAAATCAGGTCAAACCAGTAAGGAAACAAATTACCAGAATGAAAAAAATTGTAATTGACATGTTTGGACCTATTGAAAATGCACTTCTGCTTTCAATTCACTGCTGTAAATGGTGACGTTACAAATGTCAAATCTGGTCCATCTGGCCTTCTTTGCTCATGCATTGCTTTACACTTGATAATACATACATACATAACAATCTGCATGTTACATGTTTAATGCAAAGTACACTTGATGGTGCCAGTGTAAGGATATTTATAGTATCCTCAAATAGTTTTTTTAACAACCATGTTGTTTCTGAAAAAAATACTTTTTATGTAAAAGTTTCATTTTGAGCTAAACTGATGAAAAGTTAGTCAGACACTCAGGAGTCAGGACAGGAGTCCAGCTTTTGATTTTACTAATCAAGACATTTCCCAAAAGTATTGCAAGCCTAAATTGATTGTAGAGACCATTGATGGTAATTGATCTTTGACCAACACAGCCTTACAATGCTTTTGGGAAATGCAGCCCTTGTCTGTTTTGCCAGACATCCATACTTCTGTTTGCATAGCTGGCCTCACCATGAGAGCAATGTTTTTTGGCTTTTCTCATAGCATTTGTAGATACCCTGCTTTGTTAGATGAGAAACCAGTTAGAAATACAATAATATTACACAACGGGGAGAGAAAATGAGCCCACATTTTTTAGGTCACCAATAATAGAAATTCACGTTTTGTGAATAAAAAAAAATGCATTTCATTTGTGCTAAACACACTTTCAGACCACTTTAGTCTGATCACATGATTTTAGTCACATGATTTTCATTCAAAACTTCACTTTTATTTTGTTCTATGGACCTTAGTTTGATCTGTTCTCTGTGGACTAGAACTGGAAACCATTGTATTGAATATTTGTTGTTGTTTCTTTCTTTCCTTTTCTTTTTTTCCCTCTGGCTCTTTGGAAGGAGAGAGAGAACCATGGAAGCAATGAAGGGCTTTGATATCGACGCCCCACGCTGGGATCAAACCACGTTCATGGGCCGTCTCAAACACTTTTTCAACATCACTGACTGGCGCACCGTTGTGCTACCTGACTCCAGACTAGATGAAGCCAAAGTGTTAGTGGAGAGCTGCAGGTGAAGAAACACACTGATTTGATGAGGTTATCTTTATGCCTTTCTTCCTGTCTCTTACTTTCTGTCTCTTCCTCGTTCTCTCAGAGCTGGCTCTATTCCTCCAGGCACAACCGAGGAGCAGCTACACTATGCAAAGAAGCTGTATGACTCGGCATTTCACCCAGACACGGGTGACAGGATGAACTTAATAGGGAGAATGTCATTTCAGGTGCCTGGGGGTATGGCCATCACAGGGTTCATGCTTCAGTTTTATAGGTCAGCATTTAAATTTTTTTTATTATAATTAAATCTAATATTTTATTTTATTAAGATTAACTAATCAGTTTGTATGGTCTTGTAGGACAGTTCCTGCTGTAGTGTTCTGGCAGTGGGTCAACCAGTCTTTCAACGCTCTAGTTAACTACACCAATCGCAATGCTGCCTCCCCCATCACACAAAAGTAAGTTAAGTTCCTTTGACTTATTTCTTTCTAAAGTTTCTGAACTTTGCTCTCTTATAAGAAGAATTGGGTCATATGGTAGGTATGCAAAGTGTATACCACTTAAAGGAGAACTCCGTCACATCAGTACCTAGTCAACCGTTCTCTGAGATTTGTTTTCATGATAATCGAATGTTAAGAGTTTTATCTCTAAAAACTGTTTAGTGAATAACGCTAGTATATGGGGGCATATAATACGTAAAAAGAAACACCACAAACAAGCCTCAAAATAGCCCCACACTAACACAGTAACATAATGAGTGTTCCTACATGCTCTTACATTCGTCCTCTTTACATTCGATTATCATGAAAACAAATCTCAGAGAATGGTTGACTAGGTACCAATGTTTTATTAGACCAAAGGTTCATTTTGCTCCCGAGTTCTCCTTGAAAATGTGACTGTCCCAAGACATCCAGTGATTTATTTACAGATGTCTGAAAAGAAGCTTCAAATAACAGATAAGCTTCAGTAACAGAAATGGGTTTTGGTTGTGTTGTGTGTATCTTCTTTGCCCAGGCAAATTGGAGTAGCTTATGTGACGGCAACAAGCACAGCGCTGGCCACTGCAGTGGGGCTGAACCTCTACACAAAGGTATTACTCAGCCTTAAATGAACACTTAAGGGAAGCATCATGTGACACTGAAACTGGAGAAATGGCTGCTGAAAAATAAGCTACAGTAACTGTAAATTGTAACTATATTTCACAAAATGAAATACCAAATGAAACTAAAAATAATTAAAAGGGTTTTTTTCCATCATCAGTTTTATCTGCAGTGGTAATATATCATCCATTTCTAATTCAGCATCTTTAACCTCTATTTCCTCAGAAAGCTCCTCCACTGGTGGCCCGCTGGGTGCCGTTCGCTGCCGTGGCCGCTGCTAACTGTGTCAACATTCCAATGATGAGACAACAGTGAGACCCTCTTTTTCAATTTCCAGCTTTGGTTGATCTTAGCATGTTCACATGTCTGGATATTAGTATATTCAGGTTTATTCTTTCCTATATAGGGAGATTTTGAATGGCATTGCTGTGACTGATGAAGATGGGAATAAACTGGGCCACTCAAGGGTGAGGGACATTTATTGGTTGTATCACTGCAGCTCTTGCCTGGTCACCCACTGAAGCTAAGCAGGGTTGAACTTGAGTCTGGTCAGTACCTGGATGAGAGACCTCCAGGAAAATTAGGTTTCTGCTGGAAGAGGTGTTTGTGAGGCCACCAGGGGGTGCTCATCCTGTGGTCTATGTGGGTCCTAATTTCTCAGTATAGTGATGGTGATTTATAGATGCCTTATTAACGTGTATTCTATGGGCCGCTATTAAGCCATCCGCCATATTGGAACAGTCAAAGTCAGAGCAAGTTGACTGAGCGTCTGCAACTGTAGTTAGACACATGTATGAATATCTATAGTCTGCAATAGACTTCAGTAGATGATTTTGCTAAACACAATACAACAAGACGAAGGCATCAGCTAACACTCCATTAAAATGTTACGTAAAAAATTTAAAAAGTACCATAGTAAAAACCTGTAATATTGAGTTAATACATCTAAAAACACAAACCAACGGATTCTCAAGTGTGAAAGGTTATCCCTTTTCTTCAGGAATATAAATGTCAGCGGTTTCACAACCAGAAGCTGCGCAGTGTTGTGGCATTATTGATTGTCACTGTGAGTGACGACACGGCACGCTGACTGTTCCAAGATGGCGGACGTGCTGACGTGTCTGGGAAGTTTTTACATCATGTCCTTAAACTTTATTATTAGAATAATTTATAGCCACTGCATCATACATGCCGGAGTATGTAAAGTAATGAGCAGAACCATCTGTTTAAACAGATTTCAATGTGTTTAATGATTACAATAATGATCAGTTTAATGATCAGATGTCTTTCTACACTATTAGCATTTCTCTGTTCTTAAGTTACTGGATAAATACTGTATACTGTCTGTGTTTGTCATAGAAAGCAGCCGTCAAGGGCATCACACAGGTGGTCATCTCTCGAGTTACCATGGCAGCTCCAGGCATGAGTAAGTGCAGAGTTTGCCCAGTGTTATCAGATCTCAGTGCTAAAATAAACCAGCCCTCACCCAGCGGTCAATGTTGAATCCTGAGCCGTTTTCTTTGTTCTTTCCAGTCATACTCCCCATTATTATGCAGAGGCTGGAAAAATACAGATTCATGCAGGTGAGTCTTATGTTGTCCAAGGAGCACATAATAGAATATAGAGGCTAGAAAATAGCCAGTTTATGATCTGCAGGTGTTTCTGTTATAAATTCACTCTGTCTCACCCCTCAACGACTGTTGAGTTGGTCTCATATAACTTGTCAGTTATCATCAATGCATGCAGGTCAATAAATGTTACTGTTGATCCAGAAAATTGAATGGCACTTCTAACTATTTGATTTAACATAAGCTAATAATTGAATGTGCAATGTGTAGTATAATAATCAAATTTTCAAATAAAATTATTATAAAGTGTTACAAAGACTTGTTAGTCTTATTAGTTAAATTTTCATTATTTTATATTGGGATTCCATATAACATCTTTGCATTTGTTTGTTTCTTTAAAACTGTTGCAGAAAATCACATTTCTTCATGGGCCACTGCAAGTCATGATGGTTGGCGTATTGTATGTGATCACATTTCTTATGATGAAAATAACCACGGTTGTTATGGCAAATATATGATATCTTATTTTAGCAAAAGAAATGACAACATGCCTTACTTTGCTTCACAGTCTGATCTTCATGGTGCCTGCAGCGTGTTCGCTGTTTCCTCAGAGATGGTAAAGTTTGCATTTAAAGCATCTTTTTTTTTTTTTTTAAATGGATTGTATCTTTTTAAAGTAGCTTTTCAAACATACACAACCGCTCAAAAGTTTGGGGTCGGTAAGATTTAAAAAAAAAATGTTTTTGACATTAGTCTCTTGTGCTCGCCAAGGCTGTATTTATTTAATCTAAATTCAGTATAAAAGATGATATTAGGATTATTACAATCTTAAAGAAATATTTTTAGATGCTGATTTGGTGCTCAAGAAACATTTCTTATTATTATCAATCGTTTTAAAAAGTTCAAAATATCAGCATTTATATAAAATTTAAATATTTTGTTAAAAGACATAATTTACTGTCTTTCAATAAAGCGATCAAAGAACAATCTTTCCACACAGCGCGAGTTTAACTGGACAACTCGTTATGAAATCAATGACGCACGTTACACTGCACAACGAAGCTCTTGCTGTATGTACATCATCGTGTTTGCATTGGTGAAAGCATTAGAGAAAGTGCAGAAACTGCAATGATAAGATCTTCATTCTCACGATCAACAGACTGTCATCTGCTTGCTCAATGCTCATCACGGCAACATGTTATGTGATGGGAATAGATCTAAATACTTTAAAAACTTTTCACGATTCGTTATTCTCGATAGCTGTAATAGCAAAACCGTATAAAAGCTGTAGTAAAAGTATTCAAGAGAGTTTCACATGTAATACGTAGCTATTTCATATGCAAGCATGTTAGCCAATCACAGCAGTTGCCGGTTACACTGAATCCCACAGTAGACACGCCCCTTCAAACAGAGCGTTCAAATTAGCGCCTAAAATCAGGCTAGGAAACATACTAACATACTAACATTGTAAGGGCAACCCAGGAAAAATGATAAAATAATAAAATAACCCCATGTCAGGGGATCTTTAATGTCTTACTGACCCCAAAACGTTGTAATTATTTTTTTTGTATTATATTTACCAATTTCCAAGGCAGTTTGAATGACCAGAAGTGACTAGAGCAGACAATTTTGGAGCTTCACAGATTCATTAAGGCATAAAGCTTATTCACACAAGTTATTGCTGCTCAATCCATTATCTTTCTCAAAAAAGCTCCTTTCAGATGCCAACACAGTAACTGTGGTCTCTGAGCCATATCAGACTAATCAGTCATTTGCACATTGATTTGCAGTTCAATGGCTGTTACCAAGCTGGAACCTGAGCTCAGAGAGTCCATCATTTCTCAATACGGGGACCGTGTCAGTTACGTCTACTTCAACAAGGGCCTGTGAGTGCCAGCCAATCACACTGTCCTATCCAGACTGGATACATGAGCCATCACCCAATCAGAAGCTCTTTTTTTTCTTTCCTTTTTTGCTAAAGAAGTTGCTAAAAAGAAGCTTTTTGAATTGAGGTTTTGTTTCATGACACAAAGTAATGCACTAAAGCATAATTCATGGACAGCTTTTGAACATTTGGCCCTGACTGCTGCAAAGAATAGGTTAGATTTGTTCTATAGATGAGTTACAGAGAGTTTATGGACATTGGATAAACCTGATTCAGTTACCCTTTCATCCGTTCCTGTTGTATATGAACTGAATAATTGGGAACAGATTGTAATCGCTGAGAACTGTTACCCATAAATGCCATCATTTACCACAAACATCTCTCAGGATATATTTTTTTATATATTAAGTTTAATGCTTTAACACCCTCTAAAGCCAACACTGAAGTTATTTTTCAGGTTTTTCTTAAACTGTCAGACCAGACGTTCAGGTCAGGAATATACAGTCAGATCATAAACGTTTATGATCGAAATACCAGTTATGAGCATAAAGGGGGGAAAGAAGACTCTATTAAATGTCAGTTTTAAAGAGCATTTCACAGTGTGCCTTTAATTTGGAAGAAAAAATCCTGCCCTCACTGTGAACTATCTGAGTTATGTACTTGTTTTCATCATTATAAGATGATAAAATAAACAGACAGCTGTCGAAATAAACCCCAGGTCTGTGATAACTCATGGGAGTTGAACCAAAGTGGACCTTGTTTATTTTATCTAGGACTTTGCGCTCACTATTCATTCCTGCCACATGAGGGCAGTATCTGATCATTAAATGTTCACCCTGATGGGCAAAAACATACTATAAGGCCAAGTTTCCACATTTCCACAACATCAATTAACACTACAACTGCTGTCCTTTTGTTGTTGTTGTGTATGTATATGTATTTTGTATATTTATATAAAAAAATCAATTATTTTTACTTTATGATGATATATTTCATAACCACACATGCATCAATACTCAGACTTAAAAAAAAAAAACGAATGGGACAAGCTGATGTAGTTTAATGTTTTATTTGGTAATACTGTATATTTATCCGTCAAGTGAACATTCACATGGAATTACAAAAAGCATCAAAGACATGCATAGTCGGGTTCTTCTACCACAACTCTTATCATGTGGTTCAGGCCTCACATTCCTGCTCTTTTCAGCAAATCATAAAAGAGAAAGACAAAGACTGGTAAAAATGACTCAATGATCATATAAATCAAAGGTAATAACACATTTTTAAAAAAGTAGAAACAAAATCATTTAACTTACGCCATTAAAGTTCAATAACAATTAATACAAAGCAGTTTAAGTAGTTATAGCTTAATGCATATTAAACATTAACCTTGTAGATTTATAGAGCCTATTCGTAAGAGTTATGACAATGCTTCTGGTATGAAGAAAGAAACGAGGATATTGAAACAAATCTTAATTTAAATTACATCTTAAGCAAAAAGAAGAAAAAAAAAGCTTCATACATTTATGCTGGACCACTGATACAAAATAGAAAGGCATGAATTGAACGAATACTCATAAGAATGCTCCCTTTGTCAATACGAATGATCTCTGTGTTGATTTTATACAATGGTTGTGATGCATTATATCGTCCAAATGGATCAACACTTTTATTGTTGCTTTCGTCAGTTCATCAGCGGTCTGTCTACTCCCTCTCTCTCTTTTTCTCTCTAACACTATGACCACATCGGGACACATGGTTCACCCTGACGAAGCGCCTAGCAACTAGTATTCAAACGCCTCACCCTCAGTCAATCACGTGACTTGGCAACGCCCAATCAGGGGACAGTTGCAACAACCCAACTCTGTGCCTTCTTCTCAAGCTGCCAATAAACTCCTGAGTTTATTAACATCACAGAAGGAAGGAACCTCGCTCTTTGCTTCCTCTTTCTCAACGCATGCTATAGGCCTGTGTCTTTGCATGCCAATCCAATCAGCCTTGTTTTACTCTAGGGCAAAACGAAGGGTCTTTCCATTGCCATGGCAACTAAAGTCTTACATACCTCTTCGGGTATATAATCTAATGACACGTAAAAGAACAACAATACAGAAGGCAAGGGAGCTCACTAGGATCTTAGATAAATGATGCTTAAAGCTTTTGCAAAACAAGAACGAAAGCATTGAAAATGAGAGTTACAAAAAAAGAGGAGACAGTCCTCTTGGTTTTGTCTTTAAAAAGTGCAACAAGTTTAAATAGTATCATCACTGAACTATTAACGGAGGAATAAATGCATAAAACGACTCATTGTAGGTGTTAAAGGTTCAAAAAGGTAAACAAACATACTAACAAAACATTAGGGATGATTGATTCATAAATGTGAATAAAAAAATCGAATTAAAGGAATTTATTGTATATTGCCGGAATAATAGATGTTAACATTGTTGTTCCTTCATTTTTCATATATATATATATGAAGGATGCACCATGAAAGGATGATGAAAAGCAGTGGAGGTGAAGTGAAGAACAGCTTCATATACAACAGTTCAACATTCTATCATTTGGTCAGCAGCAAAATTTTGTTTCCATCACAAATTCATGTCTATCGACATCGACTTTGGTCTTTAATTTTTTAGTTTTTTTCCCAAACCCCAGCTGTCTTAAGTTCTTTCCAGGTCCCTGCACATCTTTGAACTATCTGGGAAGTCCAGCCTCACCATTTATCTGAGTGGACCAATTGGCATGGCTTTGGGAAATTAACACTGCCTTCAAAAGTAATACTCTCACTACCACCCCGGGTGGATTTGGACCAGAATGCCAGAAATTGAATATGTGAAATGAGCTGAGAGACTGCAGTTTTGGGATATTGTTCAGTCCTTTTTTGCAGAGAGAAACCTAAGCGCTGTTTTTGGGGGGGCAGAAAGTGCTCTCGTTTTAAAGATTGTCCCTCACACGATGCCTCAGGTGGGGGTCATTACTTTCGCTCCATTCTATCTCATGTTGCGATATCTAATGAAGACTGTACACTAATCTAGCCTTACGATGTTTAAATTTCAATTTGGTAAAGTTTTGTCTTTATGTCGATATTAACTTACACCTTATCTATGATATTTGTAAGAATCTCAGATTGGGTGATGTGGAGAGGGCGAGAGAGATACTTTAAGGGTCTTCTACGTCCAGAAACTCTTTCTTGGGTGGCGCGACTCCACGGTACCAGGCGCAGGAGCCGTCTCCTCTCTTGATGCAGGCGTAGTGGTCGGACTGGCGGCCCTGAATGATCTTCTCCGTCACCCAATCTGTCCACAGACACTCTTCTGGGGCGTTGATCTCGCATGGGAAGGTCGCACAACGCGTGATCTGGGTGTAGCAAAAACAATGTTTGTTAACAGGGTGTGATACTAAGTATGTTAGGTTGGCTTTGAGTTGTTTAAAGGGGTCAGAAACTGGCTTTTAAATTATATATTGTAGTCTGAGGTCAGCATATGACGTTCGCTTGGTTTTTACATTAAAAAAAACATCAAAAGGAATAAGTAATAGGCTATTTTCTACCCTAGTTTTGAGGCTAGCTCAAAAACGCTCGGTTTTTATGGGCGTCTCGCATTGAAGACTCGGAAGTAAACGCCCACTGCTGTCAGTGGATAACAGTTTTGCATATTATAATGAGTTTCACTCTCGACCTGGTTTGTCATCACGAGGTAGGCCTATGTTATTTATCTATGTGTGTAATGCGCGAATCGGTGGGTGGGGCTAAACCGGCCATGTTGAAGTAGGCGTTGATCTTCTTCTGCGGGGGTGGTGTTTTATCCTCTTATACATCATAGTTCCCCACTTTAAAAAATAAGTTGTTTGGTGAGCCTGGTGTCAATAAAAGCTTTTATTGGACTAACGAGGACGTTTTCAGTTCTGAAATTAAAGGATATTCTTATAATATGATGACCTTTTAGACGTCAAAAGCTCAAGGAAAATTTGATTTCTCAGTTCATCACCCATTTAAAGGCTGGATCAATGAATGAACAGATCAACTTCTGAATGGATCTATCTATCTATCTAGTCGTGACCAAATCAAATCAGACTAAACCCATGAATTGAAACATAGCCAGATCTTCCAATTCTGAATATTACACAACCCTGGTTTACAGCATGTTTGACAGTAATGATTAGTATGTGTCGACAGGAGAAAAATACTCGCCTTGCAGTCACACCCCATCTGGTAGCGCTGACTGAGGCTCTTCTTCTGGGTGGCACTCATGGATTCCCAGGGCATGATGAGATCACACAGAGTCACGTGCATCTTGCCGTTGGCCTCCGCCTTGCCTGGAAACACAATGTGCAGACAAAACAATCTGAAACGTCTTCACACATCTGATAGTCATGGGCCCAACAGACAAAATAACAGCACACAATAACACGATAACAAGTAGCGACATTTACCCCCTGTTAGTAATCTATTGTGCTGTCCCACGTTATGGAGGTCACTGCAGAGTCAAAACCTAGATTTGGTGAAAAACACTGCATTAAAAAAGCTTGTGAACCCTGACTTGAGTCGTGGACTTCCCAGAATGGGCAAGAACCTCAAAATGGCTTCTATTTTTGCTCAAAGGTCTCTAAGTCTCTTCTGGTTCAACCTGAAACCTGGGTAGTTTCTGCTCTGTGTGGAGAAGAGAATGTGTGCCTTGAAAACACAACCTCAGCAGTTACTCCGCACTACAGGATCAGCTCTCTCATTATTTTACCTCCCCTCCTCCTCTAAAACTTCAGCTTTAAAGGCAATTGCTACCCTCCACAGACCTCTGCCTTGTCAACTCTGTAATTTGGGCTCTGCTGGAATGATCCGATATGGGGAAACCAGAAGTTGTCGGTGTTCATCTTTTGACGTTCTTTTATATTCTGTGTTTTTTTCCCTTCAGAGTTGCCTACTCAGCAAGTTCATTAGAGAGAGGAGAAGAGTATTGAAACCCAGCTGTAAATTCAGCACTCTGTACATCACTAAGTCACGGTTTGTAAACTTCTGTCCAGTCTGAAAAAGGATCACCTTGAGTGCCAACTGGCAAGTGCTTTGCTGTGAAGGCTGTAACCAATAGCGTTGTGTGATTAAACTGCACATTTATTTGACCAAAAAACAAGAGCTGCAGAGAAAAACAAGCTTTTACCTGAGATGAGGTACTCCTTTTTGCCGTTAGTGTCCAAATTCGTCACCCCGCACACTGCAGACGAGGGTGCGGTGAAGATCACGTCAATGTGCTGGTCTGGGCCTTTGAACATCTGAAAGAGAACAACAGGTCTTGTTTTAATTCAGTGCAAGGCATTTTCATTGTAGGTTACATGTGAAAGACAGCTGCCATCTTCATCCCTTACCTTGATCTGCTTGATCTCATATTGGATCCGCTTGATAGGGTTCCCATAAATATCATTCCCAGAATCCACCTCTTTTTTCCCAACCACCTTGGCCCTGATTACTGCAGGGAAAATGTTAATGAAAAGGTTAATTTCATGAATTAATAATTGCATGGATTGTTCGCGACAAAACGCACAGGATAACTTCTCATGAAAAAATGGCCTAAGACACGAAACGAGCGGTTTGTGGGAGAAAACTAACAGTATTTATGTCGTTTTTACCGCTTTCGTAACAGCTCGTTTTGTGTCTTAGGCCATCAATATGTACTTACATTTACAAGTCATTAAATCATGTTTAATTTGGACTTCTCTTGAGGTGGACCCCATATACCTCCATTATATGACTGACAGACAAGAACGGTTTGACCTAAAAATATCAAAATTCAAAAAACTGCGGGAACAAATACACCTACATCTTGGATGCCCTTGAGGTAAGCTAAAACATATCAAAAATTAATTTCAAAGTGAACTATCCCTTTAAAATGTTAAATTTAGTTGGGACAACTTGAATATTGTCTGGTATTATATTCTTTTGTGTTCAACAGAAGAAAGGAACTCGAGGGTGAGTAAATGACAATTTTTATTTTTGGGTGAACTATCCCTTTAAGAAAACCCATTTCCAGAGTTTGAAACCACTGTCAACAACTAAATTAAGTTCAGCCAAAGAATCATTTTGTGAATGTGGAATCTTCTCAATGTTTTTCCACCGCTACTTGGACTCGGTAGAATATACAAGCTACAGCAAACGGCCAGGCCTGTAGAGATTCTGTAGCATCATCATGAAATGATGAAAAGGCACATGACTCTTGTACTGTACTTTCTTCATGCCACCTCTCATCTGAGGCCTTGTCTAAACACCATGGAGCGATCACTCTCATATAAAGAGAGTCATGCCCCCAAACCCAAATCCCATTTCCTGCAAGTTGAGCGTTTGCAGCTGTCCAGCTTTTCTGTAGCTCTCTTTGTCAGGTCAGCTAACATGCGGCAGAGACGCCTCTCCTAGAGAAGCTGACACATGACAACCTTGCGCTGACTCATTCAATCTCTTGCCTTTTATACTCACCCTTATTTTCCTTAATCATTTTTAGATGGCTGTTATTTTTTCTCTGAAGTTCTGCATGGAAACATAGCATGGAAGTTAAGGGGACAAAAATAAGCATCTCAACCACTACCACACGAAAGCCCTTTACTCTCCCTAAACTTCTTCCCTGTCCTCTTCATACACACAGCTTTAGTGTAAACAGAGCTGCAAAACCTTCTAACATAAACTGTGCTTCACAATTAGCTGCTTAAACTAGTGAAGCACATTTTTAAACAATGAATTCATGCCTTATTGTTTGCGATAAGCTGTAATAATTTCTATTTTACAGATATTTCATCCGTTTAATGTAGGCCTACTGAGATTTCAAGGAGAGGTCTATAGATGGATTTATAGATTTAAGCCCCATACACACCACACTGTAAAAAAATATTGATGGTTTAACTTAAAAAAGTAAGTAACCTGGTTGCCTTAATTTTAAGTTCATTGAACTGGAAAAAGTGAGTTAATACAATGAAGGAGATTAATTTAACCATCAGAAACTCAGAATTATATGTTATCTGAACTAAATCAATTATTTAAGTTGATTTGACAAAAGAAAATGTTATGATTACTACACTGTAAAAAAATATTGTTGGTTTAACTTAAAAAAGTAAGTAACCTGGGTTGCCTTAAAATTTTAAGTTCATTTAACTGGAAAAAGTCAGTTAATACAATGAAGGAGATTAATTTAACCTTCAGAAACTCAAAATAATAAGTTATCTCAGTTATTCATCAGCTGAAAAAAAAAATCACATTAAAAGTGATTACAATGATATCGTTCCTCTGGGCCTTTATCTTATAGTTATGATGTGGACTCTGCGATTTTTTTTTTTTTTTTTTTTTTTTTAAACTATATCTTTATCGTCCTTGGCATGAATGGGCTTTATGATTTCTGTCATTAATGAGGTCAACCAGATGAATATGCATTTTCCCACTTAAAATAAATAGACATGAAATAATAATTATAGCATTAATGACTATTTAACTACCATAGTAAACGATATTGGTTGCCTTGGACAATGGTCAGTTCAGTTGTCATTATACAAATATATCTGACTTCAGAATGCTGTGATTTTTTTTTGACCAATTACATTCAAGTATTCTAGAGAGCAGTGTAATATCACAAACTATTAAACCAAGTACCATTTATTTGAAAGAAATATAGCACATACACAGACTTCAAGCAAAAACAATATATTCTATTTAGACACTTACTAGTTGTTAAATGTTAGTGGAAACCCTTGTATATTATTGATTTTATGTTTAATGTATTCTATTTAGGTTTTGTGATAATATTATTCATAATTCCATGATTTACATGACATATCTAAATTCAATTTAATCCAAATACGAAACACACTTCACCAATGGGCTGTGAAATGAACTGCTTATGAGCTATCGCTATAAAATGAAGTTGTTGTTGTTGTTTATCTGTTGGTCTTGTCTACATTTGCCTAGGAAACCAAGGAGGAAGCAATTACAGGCTAATGTCCACCTCAAGGCTAAACTTGTCTCAGTAAACGAGTTGATCACTTCGCTGCTCGGCAAACTGTTTATTAAATTGTCCAGAAATATACTGGAAGTCACACTTTTTGCGATATATTCATCCAAAAATAACCACAGTGTATCCATTTGGTGACCTAAAATGAGGAACAGTGTCAATATGCAGCATTTATTTGTGTTGGCAGTGCCTCTGGCAAGATCAAAAAAGGGGAACAGATATTTTAAGTTTCTAGGGTATTTCATGTGAAAGTCAGATGCCCATTGCACAAAATCCACCGACTTCACAGAGCTCTCTTACCCTTTATTGATGCATGGTCTACTGGAATTGTTCTCTAAAGTTAATTAAAAATAAGAGATGACCCAATGCAGAACCAAACCCATACTTAATGCGTTTTATTTTCTATTGTTCAAAACTTTCTTGGATGAAGGGAATGTCACACAACCTGCCCACGTTGGCTTCTACCAACCCTGCTGGAAAGACCAGCTTAGACCAGCATGAATTGGTCTGTTATGAAAGTCATTGCAGGTTTGGTGGACAATCATAACTATGCTGTTTACCATCAAAACTTACTGATGAAGTCAGTCTTGTCGGTTAAGATCGTTAAGAAGCTGGTTAAAGGGATAGTTCACTTTAAATGAATTTTTACTGATACAGTATTTATATCGTTTTTACCTCTTGTAACCACAGCCACGTCCAAGTGATCTGAGGGCGCGGGCGCTTTGTGGCTGTGGTTACAAGAGGTAAAAACGATATAAATACTGTTCATTTTCTCACACAAACCGCTCGTTTCGTGTTTTCCATCAATGTCTACTAACATTATGAGTCATTAAATCACGTTTAATTTGGACTAATTTGGAGGTGGTGACCATAGACCTGCATTATATGACTGACAGACAAAAATAGTTTGACCTAAAAATATCAAAATTGAAACTACTGTGGAAACAAAGACACCTACATCTTGGATGCCCTTGAGGTAAGCTAAAACATACCAACAAGTGAACTATCCCTTTAAGAAGCCTGGTGGGGATGCCAGCATCCAAAACACAACATAGCCTATGTGGGTATTTTTACAGTAGCAGAGATACTGAAGAGTCTCTTTTTTTTATTTAAACCTTTCAAATATACGACACATTTCCATTAAACTGAACAAAATTTTTAAATGGTGTACACTAAAATTCTAATGTTTGGGTAGATCTTTTTGTATTCGGCAAGGATGTGTGAATTTGATCAAAATTTACAGTAAAGACTTTTTTTTTTTTTTACCAGACTGTTACAAAAAGTCTAATTTATGTTCATCAAAGAACCAAGAAAAGTTTTTTGAGTGATTTAAAAAGTTTGATTGGGCATACATCATTGATGTCAGTAACAAAAGATACATTAAGCATTTTCATCTCCCTTTTAAAAGGTACAGTAAAGCCCATTAATTTGTGATATTCTGCGTTTTATTATTCACCCCCCCCCCCCCCCCACCACCACAGTCTGCATCTCTTTCAGAACGGAAGTGAATCAGCGACCCATTTTTGAGCAAATGGCAATCCTACTCCTGTTCAGTGATTGGAAATACGCCCAAAGAGAACTTATGAGTGTCTGAAAGCTGAACCCAGGAAAAACAAAAACAGCTCTAAAAAAGGAGAAAAGATTTACGGCGCAGTTTCATGTTAATCAGCCACAGATGAAAATGAATTGAGACAGCTTCTCAAGTGGGCCTTCATCAGCAGCAGCTGTCTTGTAAAGCCAACCTCCAATTACAGCCGCTGAAGTTACGGCCTACCCAAAGCAATAACCTCCTCTGCTCGTGAAAAAACATATTCAAAGAGGTCTGAAGCATTAACATATTAGCCAGGGCTGCTCCTCCTTAACCCCACCCTGTCCTTTCATAAACAGACAGTCTTTCCGTAGCATCGATCTGCTTTGCCAGCTGTTTGGATCTGCTCATTTTGTTAGGACAGCTTGTTTTAATTGAGGTATGCTCAGGAACATTTCTGCAAAACTACTTATACAAATGGAGCACAGTTTATGAGACAAACTGGATTTTACAAGTTGAATTAGACTCGCTGCTTAAACTCTCAGGGCTAATTGAGGTTAAAGGGATAGTTCACGCAAAATTGAAAAATCTGTCATCATTTACTCACCCTCATGTTGTTCCAATCTCATTTGACTTTTGGTTTACTCTTTATTTCGATGCTCCACTTTAGACATTCTACTTACAGTACTATAAGTAACTTTGCAACTACATGTCAACTAACTCCCATTAGAGTGTTAGTAGACTAGACTGTTTAGGGATATGTGTTAGTGTTCTGGTTAGTAGAATGAGTTGCAAAGTTACTTCTACTCAGTAGAATGTCTTTTGGACGAGCATCAAAATAAAGTGTTTTTTTACACTTACACATAGCTGCAAAGTTACTTATATTTCGATGGTCCACTTAAAGGGTCATTCCACCTCTGGAAAGATGTGTATTTAAAATGGGTAATTTTTG